GCCGAAGCTGAAACTTCTCCTTAGGAAGTCTTTGGTCCGAGGGGCAAGAGTTACAAACACAACTCCAGAACAGAGGCTCTTTTTAGCCAAGTAAAGATGCCACAAACCTGGTGCCAAAGGTATAGTGACATTGAAAAGTAGGGGACTCTTCCTTCATGTTTTAAGTAACTAAAAGCAACAAACGTGAAGCGTCTGCTACAGCTTTTTCTATAAATCTCCAGTGACCTCTCATTTCCAGTATCTTACTCCAAATAACACTAACTAGTGGAAAGACCATCTCTACTGCACCAACTCAAGCAGAATATTGTGTGACAGTTTCGAGACAATTGTGCGTATGTAATTAATAATGTAAAAGTACAGTGCTCCTTGTCTCTATCACCTTCTCTCATGCTGGCTCTTTTCCAAGGAGCCTTAATGCATGCTCTTTCAAGCTTGGAGACAAGAACACCTTCTCATTTGATCTCCTCTGACCCTTCAGCTGCCTCTGCTCTCCTGTGTCAAAGCTGTCAGCTGCCTCGAGTCGTGCTGCCCAGCCGTGTCGCGATGCCATCCCAGGCGCTCCGTCATTAGGAACGTTCCTCACGCTCCTACAGAGCGCCGGTGCTGCACGTTTGCCAGCTCTGACTCGTAAGGTGGCCGCTTCTGCTCCTGTTCTTCATAACCTTGTTCTTTTCCTTCTTTACCTTTGGCTGCAACCTCTTCGCTACTGCCATAAAAATGCTCGTCTGTCCTTCAATTTGCATTTGTAGCTGTGTATATCACATATCCCCTCCTTCTCACAAGGTTAGGTAAGATGCTGCTTGGCTTTAAGTAGCATTTCAGGGTACTGTTATTTGGATTGGTATTAAATGACTCCACAACGGCACTCTAATCATATACGTTATCCTGATTTGCGAGCGTTCTTCACGTGAAATTAGTCTCGACCTGAGTCAAATGTGGGTTTTTTGTCCGTTTCCAGGACTTGGACTAGCATTCCCGGCCCGCTTGGCAACACCGGCGTGAGCCCCCGGAGCCTTCCCTTATCTGCTATGTTTGCTCACAGATTGCCCAAGGACCTCAGCATGCCAGAACGCTCCAGCTATCGCTCAGCGCCGTAGACCGGAGCGTTATCGCTAAAAACAAACCGATTGCCCCATTTGCTGGCACTGCCCCTGTGCAATTGGTGACGTATCAGTGAATTTGAAAGGGCCCACACTGCGGTGGGATGTGCAGCTATCCACACCGCAAAGGAGCAAGGGGCAGCTGGGAGCAGCTTAGCCGTGGAAACCAGCACCGAACGCACGGGTGGAAATCACTGGTGCTCGGCGTCAGCAAGGCCTTAGGTAAGCAGCGAAAGGACTACAACATTTTTGACTGTTTCATATAGTGCTCAAGTACAGAGTCAGGTATTAAATTATCAAGAAATGATGCTGCATAAATGAAAAAAAATTGATCATTTTGCATCAAAATGCAATTATGCCAAATCAAAAACAATTAATGTCCTTGAATGCAGATATATAGCAGGAAGCAGGTACATACTTTTATAGCTAAATTGCTTAAGGTACAATACAGGCATTGGTCTATTTTTATTTCTATTAAATGAGGGGGATGTAGTAAATACTGAGATCACTACATTTAAACATTTCTATACACAGATCAAATGGTCTTTATATTTTGTGAAGTAAACAGCAAAAAAAAAAGTGCATCTAATTTCTGAAATTCTTCTGGCTTTTCTTTTTGACCTTTGGTATTTGTATGTATCGACGCTCTCTCTAAACCATTGCACAAAAACACCTTGAAGTGTCAAGCTTTAAAAATGAGTCTTCTTTTCTCTTTCTCCTGTGCAGCTTGGATTATCTTGGCCTTGTCAAAATACATTCTCTAGTTAGAGGTTGGAAATATTTCCCTCCTGGCTCCTAAGTATTGATTTTTCAGCACTCAGCTCTGCCTGTCAGCCGAGAGGGGAAAGGTGAGAGTTCAGCCGGCGCTGCCTGGCTTTACCTTCCGATTAATGTCATAACCTTTCCACGTTTGATCAGTTCACGGGATCATCAATAGAGCTGCTATCGAACATATTTTACCTATAAGAAAATACCAAAGTCATTGATATTTCAACACGTTCACACACCTTGGAAACTGAGAATTCACATATGTTGCAACCAATTCCTTTGTGTTTTTTTTTTTTTTGTTTTGAAGTCTTATTAGGTAATGTCTGGCTCAATTCAAACTTTTCCTCGGAAGGCCAACATCCCGCCGTTCATGCCTGTGTTACGCACCTTTGTAAGCTGCAAGTTACTTGGGCTTTTTTGGCAGAAAAAACAATTGTGATTTTTATTTTTATTTTTTACAATGTGGATTGCAAATTCAAACCCAATCCACTTAGTAATCCCAGGGCAGTTTTCAAAGGACAACAGTCCACATCAGAAAATGTCAGTGTTAAATTTGTTTCAATTCCTTCTTTCCTTTGGAGGAACCTGAACCTGGATGACGAGGAGAGAGCATCACCTTTCACATCACACTGATGTTGATGAGTTTTTGGAAGATTAATATTCCTTTGTTTGGTTTAGCTGCATTGTTCTGGGAGCTAAGAGAATTTTATTCGCAGCACCTTCCTAGCTTCACCTCTTGTTATGAAGTGTGCAAGTCCCTTTAACACGATTCCCTGTCTGCACTGATGGAACGTCATTTATGTTGGTTTTCAAACGGGAAAAAAAAAATTGGCTATGGTGAAAATAATTAAGATTACTGCCCAATAAATCAGCAATGAGAAATTATTTACATGTCAGGAGGTTGATGCCAGAAGCCACACTATTCTTCAACATAGTCCAGTTTTATTTCACACGCATATTTACACCAGGATGTTTAACACATACAGCGCATTGGGAGTGGAACCATCAAGAAGCTGCTTGAGAGGCAGACTTTTTAATCATTTTCCATACATGGCGACTTCAATCATTACAACATTTTCATACAGGTGTCTCATCATGTCATCTTTTGCTTGTAAACTGCCAATGAAGCCACATACGTCTCTACATTTACAAGGACAAGTCCAAATACAGTACTAACAAATCAATAAAACACTAAAAGCTTACACCGGAATGACAATACAAATTTTACTGCAGTGCTGAGAGATCTAGGCTGTGAAGAAGTTGAGGACTAGGGTTAACAAAATCACTGGAGTAGAGGTTTCACTAATGTGCAAATATCACTTCGATGAAAAGATACTTCCGTCACGGATTTTGCCATTTCCTTGCCAAACAATACTACCCCCACGCTGGCCTGCAGAGGCCTGACTGCTGTTGGAAGCGGACTGGACTGAACTCTGGATTGTTTTTAAATGTGAACAGTATGAGAAGTTTTGAGGGATCATCACCCTCTACAAATTAGCTAAGATAGCTTTCATTATTAATGCTTTAGCTTTGCTACATTTAACTCATTTTCAGGACGGGAAAAAAATTACTACCTCTCTTTTGCAATTAAAAAAAATGCACTATACTGCTTGCTTAAAACAAACATTTTTATGCATCTATAATTCAAAATATTCTTTCACTATACCACCAAGAAAATCATTTGCAGGGTATGGTCAAACATTCCCACTGGGGCTGCATTTTGTTTCTGAACATAAACACATATTTATATATATACACTTTGAAACCTATTGTAACAGAAGTGATAGGATCCTGGAATACCTATGGGAGCATGTTTAAAGCATACGTTTCAGGTTTCCTTGTATGCATATAACTTAAATATATAATTATAATATTTCATTCTACAGATGAAGAGTTTGCTGGTTCCTTTTTTTTTCTTTTTCTAAATCTTGGAAGTTACATATATATCTTTACAAGCACAGTGTACATGCATGTTGTATTAGTTCACTTTAAAAAACCTCTGATATTCTACTACAGATTTTTCCACTATACACTCTGGCCAGAGTTAAAAAAAGAGTATAATTTATGGTAGTTTGTGTTAAACATTCCTAATGGTCTTTCTTACCTTTTTGGTTTGTGTGTTTGTTTTCTAAACAGTAAACAGATATGTAGTTTCTGGACTGTAAATCTCACTTTCATGTACAGTGTACTACACAGACCACCTAAAAAAAAAAATCAATGCTTTTTATATTTAGAAGCCATTTTAAAAAGTCATTTATTCTTTTTGAGGGGAGGGAGGATTCTGCAAGTACCATTTTTACTTTATCATGTAAAGACAGCCACCTTCCGTGAGCATTTCAGACAAAAATGGCAAAGAAAAAGCTATACAAACATATACATCAATATGTTTAAATAAAATAGTATTTTATGGATTTTTTTTTACTGTGAGCATAAACATATTTTCACACCATTAAATATTGCACAAAATTAGATATGTAAGAAGAGGGAAACACAGTTAAAGCAAATATTACCTAAGAATATCCCTACTTAAGAAAAATTTCAATATATCCATTCAAATGACTTACCTTGTACATAATTTTTCATAGCTTTTCTTGCCAGAATTGCTAAATACCAACAACATTTGTATCGTCTCCCTTGAGGGCTTGCATTCTTACTCTTTCAGCCTTCAGCAAAGCCAAAACGTGAACCTGCGACTCTGCAACAACTTATACGGTAACATGCCATGGCATAAAGGCAGATTCTAATTTCCCTGCAAGTTCCAGCGTAAATGGGAGTGACTTTCGGAAGAAAAAGGTCTTTTTTTTTTTTAAATAAATATCTGCATTCGTAGCAAAAAACACCTTTATGTATAAATATTCCTTTTTCAAGTTTGCTAGTCCATCTTCAAATGATTTTTTTTATTTACATGTGGATTATTATTCTTTCTTCCAGATTATAACAAACAATGACCGAGTACATCAGCACTTCCCACTCACTTAAGAACTTAACCTTTTTATGAGGAAATACGCCTCTTCAAATAAGAATAACGACCATGCGCTCCCGAAAAC